AAGGTTCCCATATGTGTGGACAGTTATCCAGAGGGTGAAGATTTGATTCCTACTCGGCTAAGAGTGGAAATCCCTGTTGATGAACCAGATCAAGTGGAAGAAGGCGTTGTTGAAGGGAAAACTTTGTATAAGAAACGCATTGAAAACCCATTCCAGACTGAAACCATCAAAGACACGGCTGACGCTGTAATTCCCGACATTGTCAACAGAGAACATAGAAGACGAGACGTGAAAGAGGTCACGGCCTCCAGCGCGAGCAGGAAAGAAAGGATAGGTCATCGCTCGAAATCCTGGGACCCACATCGGGCCAAAGTAAACAGCGGCGACGGAGAAGCTGCGGGAAATTCTCCTACATCTGACAATAGATGTGATTATTTACATGAGAAGGACCTGGGTGTTGATCGTTTGCTGCAAGCAGAAGGAAAGCTGAACAAGGAGCTGCCTCTGGACTACAGCTCAGCCTACCCAAAGAACAGTACTCTCCGGATAGATGACAAAGTCCGACATCAGAGGGAGGAGAACTGCAAGAAAAGCTGGGAAAGGCCAGGTAATAAAGCGCCTTATCAGGAGGTGGACTACAGCAGTGTGGCAGACCACAACCCACCCATGGACGATGGTCTCCATAGAGTTCAGCAATACTCAAACTCCAAGAGCGTTCTTCCCACACTTCTCAATGAACCTCAGTGTGACACAGGATTATCCTGGGACAAACCCTCTTTGCAGCGGAAACACTCCCTTAGACTGAACCCACAGAGAGAGGGCACTGATGAGCTCTTCTCACCTCAGCCCACCTGTGATACCACAGCCCCTCAGGAGCAACAGGAGCTCAGACCTGTCACTGTCGGTAACCGAGTCCAGAGGGCCGTGAGCCTGGCAGAGAGACCGGGGCTGACGACTGACAGCACCCCTACAGTAACGGACACTGATGCGCTCATCGAAGACGACTACAGACTGTATCAGAGAGGGGGCGAGCCAGAGGACGAGGACGCCTGCAGCTCTCTGTGTCTGAATGAAGACGAGGTTTTTGATGCTGCAAATGTGTACAGGACACGTGTACCTGACTACCACATCCACCAGCTGCTTTACCGCAACCATGAATTTGACTTGCAGTACCAGGGGCAGCACAGCCACTTGTTAGATTCACACTTTGACCAACAGCAGGATTCAGAGGAAGGCAGATTACAAGATTTCATTCCCTCAGCAACAGTGGGTTCAGTTTCCCTCAGCTCTGTCAGACCTAGAGAGACCGGCTGGGAGCCCCAACCTTCTCACCGTAGGACTAGATCGCCAGTGAGCAAACCCAGCCCCAGGCAGGCTACATCAGTCCGAGCAGAAAGACCCAGTGAGATCAATCTTGACTTGGATTGTCCCGACCTGTCTGAAGTGGCAGACAGCAGCATCTTCGACTACTGCCAGACGAGCGAGATAGAGTCGGACTCAGAGACTGTCAGAAAGTCGGCCGACGAAGGCGACGGGGAATCTGCTCACTGGGCAGCTGACCTTGAGGAGATGCAGGAGAAAGTGAATCCTCAGACCCACAGAGCCGTTCTGGCTCTTACCCCCAGTGGAGCCAGTAGGGCAGAAATGGGTGAAGCAGTGGAACTGGGAGAAAACCAGAGCATCACAGGAGACAGCGGCATAGATTCTCCTAGGTGAGTGCTGCACTTTTCAGTTGCTTAAATTCCTTGTCATTACCTACTGAAAAAGTTAGAATCACATGCCTCCCAGAAGTTTTTAAGTCTCCCACATATTAACAGCAGCTCTCTGTGGACACAATTAAATAAAATGTCCCCAAATCTAGAATGTGCGTGATTTTTGGGAGTGTAATTTCATGTCTTTGTACAGACATACAGTATTAGACAGTGTGTTAGGATACAATTGGACTTTTTGCTAGTTGGTTTATCAACGTTGAAATTAAAAAAAAAAAAAAGACATTGTGGAGCAATGACAATTTTTTCTGTAGAATAACATATGTCTCTTCTTTTACTGATTATCAAGTCCTTTGCTTCATTTCTTCTCCTGTGAGCTGAGCTGATTTTCTGCCCCCTCCCCACCCACACACCCCCTTTCTCTCCCCAATTCAAGTGAAGCGTCAGAGGAATGTAAAATAAACACCAAATTGAGGTTAGTTAACCTTTAGGTTACATGTCTGAGGCTCGTCATTTGCCCACTTTGTGTTTTTTCCTCATATGTGAATTGCAATAAAGCTGAACAAACACCTTGTGGCCAGTTATAGCTTTCAGTGTTTGGACATGAGGGAGCCATTTTGATAATTGTCCTAATTGCTGTGCAGCACTTAAATTCTTTTGCTGTTATCAAAGAAGAGGAAACGTCCAAAAATGCAGACATTGAACTTGCTGTGCACCTTGAATTATAGGGTGGACTGTTGGAATTTTACAAACACGTCACCGTGGTCAATTATTATTTACAGAAAATGTCAACCCTTTGCCCCCACCCTTTTTTGTCTCCCCCGCAGGAACAGAGTCAGTCTGGCCTCCAGCAACACTGTCATCCTGGAGGGTCTGAAGAGACGGGGCTTTTTACAAAACCTGGAGAAACTGCACTCAAAGAGCAGCACCATTCGCCCACAGAGCTCTCTGCTGCAGCTGACTCCGGTCATGAACGTGTAGGTGAAGCTGAAGCCTCCACTCAGGAGCTTTCACATCCCTATACAACAGTTTGGGACACTGTGTAGTGTTTGAACCTTCACTTCTATGCAGTCGGAAACATATCAAGTAAGAAGCGTTCACATGTCGATGCCTACCTCCACAAATTGATGACAACATACCAGGGCTCTGTGTACAGTTGTACAGAATACTTTTTGTAAGTAATTTTAAAGCTAATATGCCTATGATATAATCTATTCATGAATTACCCTGCATGTCTTTTTAAATGTGCTGTCTATCGGCTAATTTTGTGACATCAAAGTAGTTTTACCTCCGCATCTCTTCGTTCAAAATGTGCATAACAGCAATAATGTGACGTAGTATACACTACAGGACTTTCTTAGCGAAATGTAATTATCCTCTACATGACTGAAGGGGCTGCTACTTTTTAGTGTTGGCACATATTTACTCCAGGATGCAATAATGATCTCTGCTCTCATAGTCATTTTGTAAACGTATCCAATGGTTGTACCGGCCTCTGTGTTTTTATTATAGGATGAAACACATGTGGTTAATTAAAATAAATACATAATACTGATGGTGACTCGGTGTAGTGATTTGGAGGATGATTGTTGTGGGGTTAGTTCACGTTAAATGTAGTAAATCATTTTAGCTTGAAAAAAAAAACAATCTGCAGCTGCAATGAAAAACGCTCCTTGAAATGAGTTGTTGTCTGGGCTAACAGCATGCAGCGACGATGAAGAAAATGATATGAAACGACATTGCTTAAATCAGGTCAGTGGCATCATTATTTTATTTTTTTTAGAACTGGGCCCAGACGTGTTACTTTGTGTAACTTCTTCTTCTCCTAACGCCAGTTCTCCTTCCCATCAGTCACTGCAGTACTGGTTTCAGCTGTTATAACAGTCAATGCTTGAGGCTTTTAAAGTTATGTTCTTTTTTTTCAGGGTGACTGGATACATCAGCCGGCTGTCCACAGAGAGGCAGCCTGTCCCTGTGAGCAGACTGCTTACAGGGACAGGACAGTAGAAACCCATTTAAATGCAAAGGAGGGTGTGTAGTTAATGTAAATATTTAAACAATGATGTTAACTAAGGTGGTATATTTAAAAAATGCACAGGATTCAGGTGTTGGAGTTACCACGACAGGGAGCTGAATCTTAGTCTTGACCTTCTGTGCTATGTCCTGGTCTATACTGAATGACCTAAAGTCACCCTATCCAACCCACTCAATGCCAGTAAAACCCCCGTCCCAGTCTGTTCTACCAGAAATAAAATGTCTCGTTGCTTAACAGATCCACTGCCTATGATTTGCTGGTGTGCTGAAAATGAAGAAGTGAAACCCCATATGATGACACTTTAAATGAACCTAAGGCCCAGTCCTAATGTAAACCAGACACTATCCTACACCCTGAGGTCTGATAATACTGGATTATCTCTGAAGGTTATAGTGACAACTGATCCAAACCTGAGGTGTGCACCTTTACAGGCAATTCACGTATGATCTCAAGTTGTGAAGGAATGTGAGCCTACGTGGTATATCTTTAAGTGAGGGGAAACAGACACTTTACTGACAATGTTTGTACTTTTTTTTTTCACAGGCCATTTTAAGAAGACATTTCCATTTAAGGTAAAGTCAACAGTTACACTCATTTGCAGTGGATATTCGGGTTTAATAGATTTAGGTAAATTGTGGTTTCAAGCCAAAGCGTTTATAATAACAAGCCCCGTTAGTGACGATTTTCCAAGTCAACAGTGACACCATGTGGACATTTCTCGAAGTGCACAAGGTACCGCTTTAACCTTATCCCGTTGAGCTTATGATATAAGTAGTAAGGTGTCCACCTAGCCCTGGTTATATTGTTAACTGTGATAATCACAGGTCTTAACTGCTCACACACGTAATCTACAAAATTATTAATTTCTGACAAGGCGATTTATAATCCAAATGTTATGCTGCTCCATTAATTAAAAGTACTCCAATAAGCACACACTGTATGAGAGTCAACAGCCTTTATTTATCCATAAATGTGCCACTCAAACTGGGAAATGGTCTAACATCTTTCACCCTTAAGAGAAGCCTATATGGATCATTTACAACCTTACCTCTCCACAATGAGGCTATTGACAAAAATAATGAGCTGGGACAAAGACAATGTGATGTAACAGTGTAAACACATGATAATATACATGAAAGCAAAACGATTCAATGACATCAAATTAAAATATCGGGTAAGTTAGTACGAACATAAGCAACAAAAGAAGACTCCTGAACACGCCAACCTCTCTTTTCGAAGAACAGCTTAGCATACATTTCTACATCGCATGCAATAAGGCACCTATCTAACACAAGGAAGAAAGCTATGCTACAGTTTGAAGCACAATTGATATCCAAAGAAAAAGAAATGAATATTGAATATTGCTCACTATAATGCTCACTCCCATAAAAACTGTAGATCTCTCATTCCCTTTCATATAATCCAAGCCTTATCTAAAAAAATACATCAGTTTGTAAAAGATATTTTACACAGAACAGTATATAGAGCACAATTCATTTGGATTTGGAAAAGAAAGTTGTAAAATGTTTTTAATGTAGTCTTTTAGTATACACAAACTATTTTATGGTCAAATTTTGACAATCTGCAGATAATGAGCATTCATTTTATTCTGTACACAGGTATTTGACAAGTCTCCATGAATATAAAAAAAGAGTGATGTTGCATTTTAGTTCCTTTTGGCACTGAAGTCCAGCGCAAAGGGAAAATAATCAGGACACATTGTTGTTATATGCTACCCAGAAGGTTTTTATTTTCTATTATGCATTTTATGGCTGAACTACATGCCATAATAGAATCAGGATGTCATCCAGTATTGCTCTCTGTACAGTCTCTGCAGCAGTGTTAACCCCTAGTAGACATAAATATACACAATGGCTCCTGTTTGGTTGAGCCCCAATTTAGGAACAAACTATGACAAAACACTTGCAACAAGTTTGTCTCCATCACTTAAAACAAATGAAATTCGTAAAAGGAACAAAAAAAGGAGACAAGCAAGTCTTACTATCAAAAATGTCATAGTTTGGAACAGCACACTAGTCACCTATACATATATATAAAAGGAAAATCATTGAGTATTTACACTGGATTTTCAATGTTTGCTTTGTGAATAATGTTTGTGAAAAATAACTATTTCCACTATAACGTAATTCTGGTTCTGTTCATGTTGGTAGCCTTGAGCCTTGCAGCTAAGATGAAAGTACTGGAAGGGAATTCTATGGAGGAAAGAAAACCAGCAGGGTGAAGCATAGTTTCCCCAAGTAACAATTTTTTAACATTATCTTGAAATCTTTTTTTTCCTTTTTTAAAAAAGTGTTCACCAATAAACTTGAAGATGTGTCACAATCCCAAGAACAGAGGCTTCTCTAGACCCACTGAAACTATCAATTATAGGCTTCCTCAGACCATAGCATTTTCTTTTGGAGACTCGTTCATCACAGTCCATTTATCCTTTACTGCATCGCTTCTAAGCTGATGAGATCTTTAGAAACTGTTCTGATGTTTCCTGGTGTGATGTAACTAATACAAACAATGGTAGGAGTCGAACAGGGTTCGTGGTGATAGGACGATACTACGACGATACGACGAACTAATGCTCACTGATCCACATGGATTCTGTGATGTCTGGAGAGAGAGGATGAATGGTTGAAGCCTTTTCCACACTGAGAGCACCTATACGGTTTCTCACCGGTCAGAATGTGCTGTTTTTGGAAAGTGTTGTTGGAAAAAGCCTTAACTGTGGGGATGGGAATGGGGCTGTACTGCTGCGGTTGCTGTTGCGGTGATTGT